ATGTGTGGTAGCTATTAACGCTAAAGTGATATATCGCTTTGAAGTCAGGGTTTTGAAGAGATTTTTTTGCAACATGTGGGTTCGGCATGATTTTGTAATCAGAGGTTTTTGTTGACCCCAACGGAAAAAATATCCAGAAAAGGCCATTTCACCGACAATTCAAACGAATATTAAAATGTATATGTTCCGAGGTAAATTTCTGGTGAAAAAATATAATTTTGACGGGTGCTGGGTTTTTAATTTTTTCCCACGAAAGTCAGTATCGGAGATGAGTTAAATATATATAATTAATTGAGCTTTTGGCGAGTAAACATCACAGGTTGTGTGACTCAAAATTTGGCTGAGTGGAAGTTTGGGTCTGGTCTCCGACAAAACTAAAAAACAAAAAATAAAAGAACATAAACCATGGGTAAACCATGAACCGCGCTCGGCCCATGGCCGCGCAGTTGAAATAAATAAATAAATAAACCACGGGTAAACCATGAACCGCGCTCAGCCCATGGCTGCGCGGTTAAAGAAAAAAATGTTTAAGACGTCATCTATACATCTGTCCTCTAACAGATCATCAACCTCGTTCCCAGGATCTCTCATCTTACCGCCCCCTGGAGCGAGCGAGGAGAGACCCTGGTTGGGTCTGGTCACGTGCCACTTTGAAAATTGAGAACATCAGGGAGGGGTCCTCTGTAATCAGCAATTTGTCACGTTGATCTTTTGTCAAATTCAAAGTATCATGCTACGACTGCCATTACCCGCGGCGTTTATCAATACTTAGCTTTCAGGCTGAAATTTCGAATAATATCTATTCCAACGTTTAGTGGCAATTTAGTGGTTGCAATTTTCAGTGTTGCCGTCTTACCTACTGGATTTATGGAAAGTCAGTTATATTTCAACTGGAAATGTCGAGCAGCGCAATTTCATCCTGTAGTAATTGTCGTTTCTTCTTTGAATGCAATAGATCAAATTGATGCAAAAGAAAAAAAAAATCATAAGAATGTCTCTAGGAAAACATATAGCTTTCTCAAAGTAAACTATGGCAGTCTCTGAAGAAAAGCTGGACAAAGATAAACATGATATTCATGCAACGCACTGTGCTTGAAAACAGTTCTAATCAAATAGCCGGGCCCGGTGTCACCTGCGGCGTCACAATATAGAGTGCAAGTAAGCAAATATGTTCATGGAATATTTTAATCTTTGTCCCTGGAAGGCCAATACTTAGAGCCTTAAAACATAACTTGAAATAGAAAGGAACCTAAACAAAGTATATGCACAGCATGGCAAATTACAGAGGTGTCAAACTCTGAGAAGCGACGTGCAGTTAACACCGGAAACCATGCAGACCTACAACCTCTAAAAATATGCTGTGACACAATCAAACGACTCCGCTCTACTTATAATTTCCATTTCTTCCAATAACAGGACATAAAAAGTGCCCCTCAGAAACACGCGTGAAACAAAGAAAGGTCGAGAGATCGAAAATTAAATGAAAATGTGCACAACTGTCACGAACCGTTGGAGTCACGTACACTTCTTTATTAACAACACAATGAAAATAACATTTTTCTTTTTCTAGCCTCCTTTCGGTCGAAGAAAAATCTAGTTTATTGGCAACGACAGTGAAATGCATACCGCCACGAGTTCATTGTATTATCCTACACGCCTCTGCAAAGTTCGGGATGCCGACGGCGCAGTGACACTTCAATAAATCTTTTGGGTCGGTACATTTCGCTGACCCCTTGTCCATGGACTACCCCAATGGACTACTTGACTACTTGAATGGACTACCCATGGACTACCCTAAATGGACCACCCTAAAATTTGTGGCAAACATAAATTTAACGCTAGAACCCGAACAAAAGATGCGATCAATCGACAAACACATTATGGAACAAATCTTTTCATCCTTTCGCTCCTTTCGAAGTGACTTTGGCTTTCAGTGATCAATTAAAAGGCCCTGAATTCTCTAAAATTATTTAATTGCCGTTCACAAGACCTACACTTCATTCTGAGTCAAAGATCTTCCATACACAGCCTCGGCCGCAGTGTGCAATTATCCATTCGCATTCTTGAGGAGATTTTTACAATATGTAACGTCCTTCACCGTACCAACCTTCAGCGACTTGAATTTCCGCTATCAGATGATGGATAAGTTTTACTTGGCATTCGCAGAATATTACCGCCGGACATTGCCGCAGAACATCATATCGCCCTTGGTTTACTTTGGTGACAACACATCCCGCACTCCCGTGGGCTAAGTATAGACAAAATTCCTACTAGGCTGCCCATCCTTTCAATAATTTAATTGTCATCTCCCAGATTCTGGGAGACACGTGACCAGACCCAACCAGGGTCTCTCTTCGCTCTCTCCAGGGGGTGGTAAGATGAGAGACCCTGGGAACGAGGTTGACAGATCATTAGCAAGAAACAATCAAAATGTGAGAATACTATTAATTTTTGTAATTTATTAATCATTGTACTGTAATTCTGTTTTTTTTTTAAGTGTGGCAAATCAAACTAAACTAAAATAAAAATAAAAATTATTATGTAATGCACTACTGACAATAGTTTACTTACACTACACCAAACTCACCATTCAAACTTTTGCTGGCTTCTTCATTGGTAACACATTTTCCTCCTTCTGGGAGAAACGTCGGAGTTGGCGATTTGCACGAGCAACTGTAGGGAGAAGACGTTGAATCCGCTGAAAGGTTGGCACAAAACTTGTTCTTGTCCGTCGGATTGCAGCGATCCTGAAGGCATCCTTGTTTAAACGTAACACTAAATACATCGCCTACATCACGACCAGCTTTCCTGCGAATTAAGTATTTGGCGACATCTGACTTCTTGATGCTGGCGTTGGTTTCGAGGAAATAATGTTGGCAGCAAAGATAGAGAATAAAGAAACAGGTCTTGACCTTCACTTTCGTCGTCAAAAGCGCTGTTTCCATATTTCGCTGAATGTCCGCTAGTAGCAACCCCAACAAATGACTTCTAACGCGATTGTTGCTTAAAATATGCAGTATCTACAATATTCCCCATGGTAAAAATGCCCTTCCTTATTTGTGTCAGAACTTCCTAAAGCCAAAAGGACGTCTGTGCTGCAGCTTGTCTGTACCTGAACAACGTCAAGTTCTAAACGCCTCGATCCTCTTGGGTCGCCAATGTTTGGCCTGTTGTCACGTGATATTGCGCCTGGGGGCCCTTCTCCGGTGACTGAAGAGATGTTGTTGAGGAAACATCCGTAGTTAATACTGGCTTTTACTGAAAACGCTGCTTTTTTATTTTTATTTATTTGTTTTTCCTTTCTGTCATATTTTCTTATTAATTTTAGGTTGTATAAGTACCCCAATGCAGCCCTTAGTGAGGAAGTAAGGGGGAGGGGGGAGAGGAATGTGGCTATATGTGGCTTGCATGCTAGTTATCAAAGCGGAATTTTTTGGGTTCCCAGAAGAGCCAGAAATTAACGTTTCCACTTCCGGTTTTCGCTTTCCACTGGGCTTTATCAAAGTGCTGAGCAGCCATCAGCCATATATGCTGCTGATACTGTGAAAATTTATCAAACAAAATTCATGCACACTCGGAATAACAGTTCACTGAACCGATCATACCGATGAGTTCCTGCTGCAGGATCGAAATCGCGGCATTTTTCCAGGAAATAGTCTGCGCAATTAGAAACTGATGTCCTGTTTTCTCCTTATGCGTTTCGATGAAACAATGAATATTTCTTTAATTAGCCTGTGAACAGGCTTTCTAGTCGAGGATGGGGCGAAGAGAAAGCGGAAAGAGAGAAGATAGAAGAGAAAGGAGGGGAAGAGAGAGGTGGACAGAGCCTGTAGACAAAGGATTGAAGCTGCCGTTCAGCTCCCTCGTAATTAACCTTTCATTAACCTGTCAACATCGTGTCACAATCTCCACATGTGGATGCACTGAAAGTTTCCCCTCCCGCACCCGGGTAAAAGGATCGAACATGAAAATGAGGTCAACTAGGAGCTTTTCCCCAGCTTTTTTTTCCACTCCATTCCTCCCTCGGCCACTTCACTCTCAGCCAGTTCCTTCTCGCCCCTTCCAGCCGCGGTCAGAACCTTCCAGGAGCCTGTTCACAGGCTATTCTTTCACCTCAGGATAGGCTAAGGATAGACTCATCCTCATTAGCAGGCAAAGGGAACATTTCCTTGTTTTTATTTTTCGTGATTTGCGTCACTCAACGTCTGCAGTTATCTTTGACTACATTTTGGTAAAACCCGTGGAAACCTTAAGACGCGGTGTACACGTAACTGCATTATTGTTCGTAGTCTCCTTTAGGCGTTCAGTTACTTGGGACGCAGCACGAAAAACGGCGAGCGAAAAAACAGGGGAGAGGGGAGAGGCGCGGCTTTCTCTCGCCGCACTCCTCCCCTCTTTTTTCGCTCACCGGTTTTCGCGCCGTATCCCAACAAA